CTACTAGACTAATAGAAGATAATGAAGGAATGCACCTGTGAATGTGAGCTTGTTGGGGAAATAAGGCCTTTCTTTGAAGATATTATCAGTTAAGTCATACTGGAGGAGAATGGGTCCTAATCCATCTGCGTGGTCTTATAAAAAGGAAGAACAGACATGGAGAGTGACACACATGGGCAAGACACCATGTGAGGACCCATCTATAAGCCAATGAACTCCAGGAAATGCCTGGGGCTATCAGAAACTGAAAGAGACAAGGAAGGCTCTTCCTCTAGAATGGACAGTGTAAGAAAATAAATTTCTGTTCTTTCGTTATGGCAGCCCTCAGAAACTAAGACACTCTTCAAAAGACACTGTTATGAAAATGGAAAGGAAGGCCATGGACAGGGACAAAATATTGATAAAATATATATCTGATAAAGGACTTGTATCTAAAATATATAAAGGACTCTTATAATGCAGTAATAAAAAGACAACCCAATTAAATATGGCCAAAAGATTTGCACAAAGATTTCACCAAAGAAGATATACAAATGGCACATGAAAAGAAGCTTATTATAATCAGTCATTAGAGAAATTATAATAAAAGCATAATCGGATACCATTATACAGCCGCGAGAAGGCTAAAATTAAAAAGACCATACCAAGTGTTGCCGAGGATGTGGGATAACTAAAACTCATATACTGGTAAGAATGTAAAACTATGCCATGATTTTGGATAACAGTATGGCAGTTTCTTAAAAAGTTAAATATACACCTATCATGTTATCCAGCTATCCCACTACTAGGTATTTACAAAAGAGAAATGAGATCCTATGTCCATACAAAGATTGTACATGAATATTCATAGCAGTTTGATTTGTAATAAACAAATCCTGGAAACAACACAAATGTCCATCAACAGGTGAATGGATAAACGAATTGTAGTATATTCTTACTATGGACTACTACTCAGCAATACAAAGGAACAAACTATTAATATATGCAATAACATGAAAGAATTTCAAAATAATTATATGGAGTGAAAAACTCCAGACAAACAATAGCACATACTCTATATTTCCATTTATATAAATTTCTAGAAAATGCAAATTAACCTATAGGGACATAAAACAGATCAGTGGTTGACTGGGGATGGTGGTAGGGAGATATAGGATGGAGGAATTACAAAAAAGCATGAGAAACTATTGGGAGTGATGGATACATTCCTGTCTTGATGGTTGTGATGGTGTCACTAGTTTATACATATATCAAGACTTACCAAATTTCATACTTTAAATACAGGCAGTTCATATTTATACTTTAATGAATTTGAAAAAAAAAAGTAATGATTTGAAGCAAAACTTATAAAACTATATAATATGAGGTTTGTATTTATGTAGATCTAATATATATATAACAATAATAGCACAAAGATGGGTGAGTGAATGAACTACATTGTTCCAAGTTCCTACAATTTAAGTGAAGCAGGACAATATAACTTTAAGTAGTGCTTTGATAATTTAAGGATGTATTTTTTAAATCATTAAAACGACCACAAAAAATACAAAGAGGAATAGCTAAATAGCCAATAGTGGAATTAAAGTGGAATACTCAATACATTTGATTAACCAAAAGAAGACAGGAAAGTAGACTAGAGAAACTAGAGAAACAAGAAACAATAATTGAAAATAAATAGGAATATTGCAGAAATAAAACCAATTATATCAATAATTACATTAAATGTAAATGAAGTAAACACTCCAATATAAAATAAAATTGTCAGAATGAATAAAAAAGCAAGATCCAACTATAGGCTGTTTACAAGAAATAGACTTAAAACATAGAAATGGGGGTGGTGGTTCAAGATGGTAGCATTGTCAGATGCCTAATAATGTCCCTCTTAAAACAAAGACCCGAGAAAACAAGTGAATCAGATATAGATGACAACTTTGGAACCCTGAGCATCAAAGGCAAGGCTGGAGGATCTGACTGAGTACCAAGGGGAAGGAGAGACTACAAAAACAGTGGACACAGAGAAAAATGGATTGTCGGCATCCTGCCAGCTGAACCTGCACAGCACGGCCATACTGAGATAAAGCAAGCATCACCTGGTGCAGCCAAGCAGGACTGACTGCACCTGACGAGATAGGAGTGCTCCCCACCCTGCGAAACTTAAGTGCACTCATATCACCCACTGTGCCCTCCCAGCCCCCTTGTGCCTGAGGCCCGTGGACCTGCAGTGCCATCCACCCCCCTCATCAATCCCCCCTGTGGCACCTACCACTGCCCTGCCCCGAGACAGGGGCCCATGGACCAGTGGCACCTGCCCCTTCACTCAGCCACTCATGCTGGGGACCCAAGGATTGGTGGCACCTGCCTCTCTGCCTGGCCACCAGCCCTGGTGACCTGTGAAATTTCAGCACCTGCTTCTCTGCCTAGCCACCCACACTGAGAGCCCATGGACAGAGAGCACTCCCACATCTGACCACCACCCAAGCTGGGAGCCCATGGTCCGGCAGTGCCCCCACTTCTGCTTAGCCACCCACAATGGGAGAAACTAGAAATCCAAAAGATTAACAATAAAATTTCAGAAACAGACAACTCAACAGAAGGACATAGGAGCAGAAATGAATTAATGGAAGATAGAATCAACAAAATAGAGAACAAATTCCTTGATACCAATTTGTTTGAGCAAAAGTCAGAAAAAAGAAAGGGGGAAAAAAAAAAAAGCAGAAGAAGAAAGCCTAAGAATTATGTAAGACATTACCAGAAGGAAAAATTTACAAGTAATCAGAATTCCAGAACAGGAGGAGGCAAAAAAAAAAGCCCCAAACAAATAAACAAAAAAAAACCACAGAGAGAATTATCAAAGTTTTGTTGGCAGAAAACTTGCCTAACATCATAAAAGAAGATACCCATCCAAGCAGCTCAACAAACCCCATATAGGACAGACTCCAAAACAAAGTCACCAAAACATATCATAATCAAACTTGTCAAAACCAAAGACAAAGAAAGAATCCTGAGACCAGCTCAGGAAAAACAAAAAGTCAACTACAAAGTGGAACCAGTAAGACTAAGCTGTGATTACTCAGCAGAAAGCATGCAGGCAAGAAGGCAATGAGATGATATATATAAAACTTGAAAGAAAAACATTGTGAACCAAGAATTATATATCCAGCAAAATTGTCTCTCAAATATGATGGCGAAATTAGGACATTTCCAGATAAACAGAAATTAAGGGAATTTGTAAAAACCAGACCAATCTTACTCATTAAAGTCTATTGCTGTAGAGTCAATTCTGACTCATAGTGATGCTATAGGACAGAGTACAACTGCCCCATAAGGTTTTCAAGGAGTCGCTGGTGGATTCAAACAGCCAACCTTTTGGTTAGTAGCCAAGCTCTTAACTACTGAGCCACCAGGGCTCCAACCAACCTCACAAGAAATACTAAAGGAAGTTCTTCAGACAAAGAACCAACATCAGACAACAACTTGAGATTAGGACACAGGACAGCATCAGCCAGATACCAATCCAGAAGACAAAGAATTCTCAAAAATAAAACAAAGCTAAAAGACTGAAAAAAGGGATCCAGAGATGTCAGTCTGTAAATGATGCCAATGTCAAAATGAAAAGGGGGAATAAATGGTGTAGTTATAGAATTTTCATATTAAGAGAAAGTCAAGGCAATATCAAGAAATAAGACTGCTTTAAACGTATGAAAATAAAGGTAAATTTCAAGGTAACCACAAAAAAGTTAATAAACCTACCAATCAAAATAAAAAAGAAGAAAAACATAAAGACACAGTAAACAAAAAATCAACAATAACAAAATAAATGAAAAGGAAATCCATAAACAAAAAGATCTCAGCACAGGAAATCAAGTGGAACAAAGAAACTATCAATACAACACACACAAAAAAAGTACAACAAAATGACAACAGTAAACTCATATCTATCAATAATCACACTGAATGTAAATGGCTTAAATGCACCAGAAAACAGAGTGGCAGAATGGATTAAAAAACACGACCCATCAATATGCTGTCCAAAGACACACCTTAGACACAAAGACATAGTATATTAAAAATCAAAAGACAGAAAAAATACATCAAGCAAACAATAACAAACAAAGAGCAGGAGTGGCAATATTAATCTCTGATAAAATAGACTTCAAGGCAAAATCCACCATAGAAGACAAGGAAGGACATTATATAATGATTAAAGGGTCAATCCACCAAGAGGACATACCCATAACAAATATCTATGCACCCAATTACAGGGCTCCAAAATTCATAAAACAAACTCTAACAACATTGAAAAGAGAAACAGACAGTTTCACAATAATATTAAGAAACTTCAATATACCACTTTCGGTGAAGGACAGAATATCTAGAAAAAAACTCACCAAAGATTCAGAAGACCGAAATGCCACAACCAACCACTTTGACCTCGCAGACATATACAGAACACTCCACCCAACGAGAGCAAAGTACACATTCTTTTCCCATGCACATGGAACATTCTTCAGAATAGACTACTTTGGTGAAGGGAAAGACCACAAACAATATAGGGGAAGTCAGCACAGCTTTACCAAGACAAAGTCATAGAAACTTCCTAGACACATCTAAATACTTTGAGGGATGGAGATACTGGGGCTGAGGAGTAGGGACTATCGTCTTGGGGGACATCTAAACTTCTCATGACAAAACACGTTATTAACCAGTCAGCAATACAGCTAAAAGTGAGAAAAATGTTTATAGTGTACATGAAGACCAAAAAATTCCTAAAAATAAAATCTAAACATACCATCACAGACAAATGGGAAAATGATTTAAGCACACCAACTTTTATAATAAAAAAAAAAAGCAAAGCAATATTCAAACTACTACAGCACCAATCTGTAAGTCAAATGTTACTTTAAGATCCTCTACCAAAAAAAATTCTGACTAATAAATAACCTAATATACTTGATTTGGGCTATCTATTCCATTCTGTAGTTTACAACAAATTTACTTACTAGCCATTATGCGTTCTTGACTGCTTGCAATCATTTCCTTTAGAGATTTTTCAGGTGTTTTCTTGCTACCATGTATGGTTGTTGTGGTGAGTCCTTTCAGTTTCCAGTGGGTCCAAAAGCCTTTTTGAGGTTTTAAACCTGTTCATAAAAAATGTACATTTAGTAAAATAAATTCATATTTTGAAAATGTCCTTTGTCCAAGCATTTTTATTACTATGATACATTTCAACCTCACAACAATCCTGAGTATTGTCAGCCTAAAGTTTCAAACAGGGGAACTCTGATACAGAGATATTAATGTCTTGTAATGCAAAACAGTGAATTAGAAAAGAGCTGAAACTTGATATCATCTTCTGACTTAGGTACTTTTATAATTATGGTCAGAAGATCTGGGTTCAAGATGAAGACATGATTTATCAAAAAGAAATCAGCCAAGTTCATAAATGGACATAAGAGGAAGTTGATCATTGCAAATACTAGAACAGTACCCAAATATCCAACAACAGTAGATCCATACAGTGCACTATTAAGTAGGTATTATCAACTATCTGGTAAATATTTAGTAACATAGAAAGACATTCATGATGTGTTTCTCTGTGAAGGACAATTTTTCTTTCTTTGTATACATGTATAGCTATTGCCTCTGAGTGTAGGTGATTATCATTTTTTAAAATTTTGCTTGTCTGTATCGCCTTTTAAAATAATATTTATGAATCAATTATAGTACTTAAAAAATATCAACATTTGTTACTTTTAAGCTATGTAGGATTGGACAAGTTATTTAACCACTCAACAATAAGAATAATATAAATTCCTTTGTATACTTCATATGGTTGTTCTGAGGATCAATTCAGATAATATGTTAAAGTATTCAATAAATGGCAGCATGCTATACAGATATGAGCTAATGTTATTATCACTTTTACTGTACATTAACATACTAATAAATATAACTAATATTTTCTTAGAAGTGAGTGTTCAATGAGGATTATTTGCTATACTGGACTATCAAATTAGAATTTTCTAAGTGTTTTTAGACACACATAACAATTAATTACCAATAGACAAAATATGCAGAAGCCTTCAGTTTGATTCACTTGGGTGCTTCTTGATAGATTGTCTAATGTTGAATAATTCTTACATTTCCGGGACAAATCTTACTTGGTCTTGATTATATTAAGAGAAATAACACTGATTCATTCAACAAAACACTGTGTACTATGTGCTTGACACACACACACAGAAAAACCCAAGCCCGTTGTCGTTGAGTTAATTCCGACTCATGGCAACTATATAGGACAGAGTAGAACTGCCTCATAGAGTTTCCAAGGAGCAACTGGTGGATTTGAACTGCTGACATTCTGGCTGGCAGCCAAGCTCTTAACCACTACACCACAAGGGCTTCAAGAGAGGCCCTTCCTAACCTTGAAGCAGATGTGAAATTATTTAACACAGTGTCTGGTCCATAGCTAGCACTTAATACAAGTTACTTTCGTTGTTGCTCCTTTTCCAAATTAACTACTGGTTGAGCTGTGAGTACATTTCAATATTAATTACAAACAAAAAAATTAAATTAGTTACTAAACATGGACTGTTCCAAAGAACGGCATTAACATGGGGCACAACCCTCAAATGAAGTGTGTTCTACATCTTTAGCTTTGACAATTTCTATAAGCTTTGGAAGGATCTATTAAAGGGTTTCCAAAGAATTTTTTTTTTTTTTTACCATACAGGGGTTTAAAATAAATGGCATACAAATCAATGCAGTAAAACACAAAAACATCTTGAGATAACCTGGTAAGTTACATAGATTTTAAATTAGTTTTTATTTTATTAAATTTATACAGGAATGTAAAAAGTCAAATATTATAAAACCCAGTAGTTTCCTCACTCACCCCAAACACCGTATCTTGCTTTTCAAAAACAACCACCTTCATTTGTATTCATACCCATATCTTATTCCCCAAAGGCAGGCTATAATGCAACTTTTTTTTTTGTTTGTTTCTTGTTGTAGTTTAAATGAAGTTTACATTTCAAGTTAGTCTCCCACACAAAAATTTATACATGTGACCCTAATTGCTATCCCCATATTGTGACAGCACATTCCTCCTTTCCACCCGATTCCCCATGTCCATTCAACCAGCTCCTAACTCTCTGCCTTCACATCTCACCTCCGGACAGGAGTTGCCTGTTTAGTCTCTTGTATCTACTTGAGCTGAGAGACACACTCCTCACAAGTATCACTTTATGTCCCCAGTCCAGTCCAATCCCTGTCTGAAAACTTGGCCTTGGAAATTGTTTTAGTTCTGGGCTGACAGAGAATCCAGGGGCCATGCTTTCTGGGGTTCCTCCAGTCTCAGGCAGACCATTAAGTCTGGTCTTCTTACTAGAATTTGAGTTCTGCACACTACCTTTCTCCTGCTCCATCAGGGACTCTCTGTTGTGTTCCCTGTCAGGGCAGTCATTGGTGGTAGCCGGTCACCATCTAGTTCTTCTGGTCTCAGGCTGATGAAGTCTCTGGTTTATGTGGCCCTTTCTGTCTCTTGGGCTACTACTTTCCTTGTGTCTTTGGTGTTCTTCATTCTCCTTTACTCCAGGTGGTTGGGACCAATTGATGCATGTCAGATGGCCGCGTGCAAGCTTTTAGGACTCCAGATGCCACTCAACAAAGTAGGATGCACTCAACAAAGTAGGATGCAGAACATTTTCTTAATAAGCTTTGTTATGCCAATTGACATAGATGTCCCCTGAAAGCATGGTCTCCAGAATCTACCCCTGCTACTCTGTCCCTCAAAGTGTTTGACTGTATTCAGGAAACTTCTTAGCTTTGGTTTAGTCCAGTTGTGCTGACTTCCTCTGTAGTGTGTGCTGTCCTTCCCTTCAACTAAGATAATTTTCATCTACTATCTAGTTAGTAAAATACTCCCACTCCCTCCCCACCCTCGTAACCATCAAAGAATGTTTTCTTCTGTGTTTAAACCTTTTCTTGAGTTCTTATAATAGTAGTCGTATACAATATTTGTCCTTCTGTGACTGACTAAATTCACTCAGCATAATGCCCTCCATATTCCTCCATGTTATAAGGTGTTTCAGGGCTTGATCGTTGTTCTTTATGATTGCGTAGTATTCCATTGTATGGCTATACCGTTATTTGTTTAACCATTCGTCCGTTGATGGGCACCTACGTTGTTTCCATCTTTATGCTATTGTGAACAGTGCTATGAACATGGGTGTACATATATCTATTCGTGTGACAGCTGTTATTTCTCTAGAATATATTCCAAGGAGCAGAATTGCTGGATTATATGGTACTTCTATTTCTAGCTTTTTAAGGAGGCGCCAAATCGATTTCCAAAGTGGTTGTACCATTTTACAATGCCAGCAACAGTGTATAAGTGTTCCAGTCTCTCCACAACCTCTCCAACACTTATTATTTTGTGTTTTGGGGATGAATGCTAGCCTTGCTGGGGTGAGATGATATCTCATTGAAGTTTTTATCTGCATTTCTATAATGGCTAATGATCATGAGCATTTCTTTATGTGTCTGTTAGCCGCCTAAATATCTTCTTTGGTGAAGTGCCTGTTCATATCCTTTGCCCATTTTTTAACTGGGTTATTTGTCTTTTTGTTGTTGAGGTTTTTCAGTATCTTGTAGATTTTAGAGATAAGATGCTGATCAGATTTGTCATAGTCAAAATTTTTTTCCCAGTCTGTAGGTTGTCTTTTGATTCTTTTGCTAAATTATTTTGATGAGCATAAGTGTTTGATTTTTAGGACCTACCAGTTATCTAGTCTCTCTTCTGGTGCTTGTGCATTGTTACTTATGGTTTGTGTTCTGTTTATGCCATGTATTAGGGCTCCTAGCGCTGTCCCTATTTTTTCTTCCATGATCTTTATTGTTTTA